CAGCTACGGTGGACATTCCTGCAGTCAGCATGCCAATTGCACCCTCCCTCAAAACTTGAGACATCTGTGGCATTGTGTTATGTGACAAAAATGCACATTTTAGAGTGGCCTTTTATTGTCCCCAGCACAAGGTGCACCTGTGTAATGATCATGCCGTTTAATCAGCTTCTTGATATGCCACACCTGTCAGGTGGATGGATTATCTTGGCAAAGGTGAAATGCTCACTAACAGGAATGTAAACAAATTTGTGCACAACATTTTAGAGAAATAAGCTTTTTGTGCATAATGGAACATTTCTGGGATCTTTTATTTCAGCTCATGAAACGTGGGACCAACACTTTACATGTTACCTTTATATTTTTGTTCAGTGTAGTTAATTCATTTTGACCTAATGCTGCTCATTCATATTATTGTTTGAATCTTTTGGGAAGGAATGATTTACAGTTGACTCCTGATAAGCACACTTTATATTAGTGCAAACTCTGTTTTTCGGTCTCAATTCAATAACATTCTGTTTCCTGATGGCTGCATTCTCTGGTTCAGTGCACGCTGTCACATCAGTCCCAAGCCACTGCAGTTGTCAGGAGTCGCCTGTTTTACAATTTGTTGTCTATCAATTCAGTTCATGCAATACATGATCATCCTAGATCACCCTATTTCTTTCCTCACATTGTAGTCGTTCATTTATATTATTACTGGTGGGTCTGACTGTACGCTGTGGTAAAACCCCATCCACATGGGGGCGCTGTGATTTGTTGATGGACTCGCCACCCGCTAGTACATCAAACAGAAGAAGGCTACGGAGTGAAACTTAGTTTATTTTCCGGTTCAATCAGGTGTGTGCTTGTTTGTTTTTCTGTATGTGTTTTATCTCGGATTTACTTATTTAGCCAGCACTTTTAGCCAGCTAGAGTCTTCGGATGAACTATCACGTGTAGCCAACCAGGCCAGCTAGCTAGCTAACTCCTCTGCTAGGTAACTCCTCTGCTATGTAACTCCTCTGCTAGGTAACTCCTCTGCTATGTAACTCCTCTGCTAGCTAGCTAGCTAGTTAGTTAGTTATCCTGATCACACGTGGCTGTGTGTTTGTGCATGTGCGAACAAGTGTTAGTGAACGTGTGTGCATGGGCGCCAGAATTCGTCTCAAAAGTGGGGGTGCAAAAAAAAAAATAATGTATTAATCCTTTTTATTTATTTTTTATGTAACCAAATTCTGCAATTCTACACTTTCTTCAGAATGAAAAAATATTTTTAGAACACATGTCCAGAAAACATTTATGCATTTATCTATATGCCAACAGTGGGCAACATGCCTAATTTATCATAACCATTACAGATAACAAGTCCTAATTGCGAGGCTGTAACCCCCCCCAATACCACATAATGACAAAGGAAAACCGGTTTTTAGAAATGTTAGCAAAAGTATAAAAACTGAAATATCACATTTTACGTAAGTATTCAGACCCGTTACTCAGTACTTTGTTGAAGCACCTTTGGCAGCGATTACAGCCTTGAGTCTTCTTGGGTATGACGCTACAAGCTTGGCACACCTGTATTTGGGGAGTTTCTCCCATTCTTCTCTGCAGATCCTCTCAAGCTCTGTCAGGTTGGATGGGGAGCGTCGCTGCACAGCTATTTTTAGGTCTCTCCAGAGATGTTCAATTCCGGGCTCTGGCTGGGCCACTCAAGGACATTCAGAGACTTGTCCCGAAGCCACTCCTGCGTTGTTTTGGCTGTGTGCTTAGGGTCGTTGTCCTGTTGGAAGGTGAACCTTGGCTCCGGTCTGAGGTCCTGAGTGCTCAGGAGCAGGATTTCATCAAGGATCTCTCAGTACTTTGCTCCATTCATCTTTCCCTCTCGATCCTGACTAGTCTTCCAGTCCCTGCCCCTGAAAAACATTCCCACAGCATGATGCTGCCACCACCATGCTTCACTGTAGGGATGGTGCCAGGTTTCCTCCAGACGTGACGCTTGGCATTCAGGCCAAAGAGTTCAATCTTGGTTTCATCAGACCAGATAATTGTTTCTCATGGTCTGAGAGTCCTTTAGGTGCCTTTTGGCAAACTCCAAGCGGATTGTCATGTGCCTTTTACCGAGGAGTGGCTTCTGACCGGCCACTCTATCATAAAGGCCAGAGATGGTTGTCCTTCTGGAAGGTTCTCCCATCTCCACAGAGGAACTCTGGAGCTCTGTCAGACTGACCATCGGGTTCTTGGTCACCTCCCTGACAAAGGCCTTTCTCCCCCGATTGCTCAGTTTGAGTCTTGGTGGTTCCAAACTTCTTCCATTTAAGAACGATGGAGGCCACTGTGTTTTTGGGGACCTTCAATGCTGCAGAATTTTTTTAGGTACTCTTCCCCAGATCTGTGTCTCGACGCAATCCTGTCTCAGAGCTCTGCAGACAATTCCTTCAACCTCATGGCTTGGTTTTTGCTCTGACATGCACTGTCAGCTGTGGGACCTTAAATAGACAGGTGTGTGCCTTTCCAAATCATGTCCAATCAATTGAATTTAACACTGGTGGTCTCCAATCAAGTTGTAGAAACATCTCAAGGATGATCAATGGAAACCGGATGCACCTGAGCTCAATTTCAAGTCTCATAGCAAAGGGTCTGTATGTAAATTAGGTATTTCCGTTTTTTAAAAATACATTTGCTACAATTTATACACCTGTTTTCTCTTTGTCATTATGGGGTATTGTTGGTAGATTGAGGGAAAATATAATTTCATAAATTTTAGAATAAGTCTGTAACGTAACAAAATGTGGAAAAAGTAAAAGGGTCTGAATACTTTCTGAATGCACTGTACATATTTATAGGCATTTATTTACGTAGGCCAAATGGGAACTTGTGTGCGCACTCAGGACACGTTTGTACCGGGAGCGGTCAGAACACAATTGAGTGTGGAACACAGGGAAAATGGAATTGGGGGAGAGGAACTGCGTGATGCTTGGCTTGGTTTCTTTTTTGTTTTGCCCCGCAAATGGAACAGTAGAGTCAAAGCAAATTACCGTCAAAAGACGACAAACTGTCAATATATTTCATGACAAAATGTCACTTGCCCATTCGGGCAGCCACAAAGTACATTCCACCAATTCGTTTTTTGTGATCTCTGGTTAAAGATCGAGTTGACGTCCGTCGAGACCCATAGCCATCCCTACCTCCGACATGAAAATGTTTCAAACTTGTCTGCTCTAGTCTCCTCTCAATATATATATATATATTTTTTTTATTTAAAAAAAAAATAAGACTAATAAAACAGCATAAAACCAGGTGTATCACAAAGCATGATCAAATTAATTAGCCAGCTACTGTAATTTTGAGAAATAGTTTGGTCGATTTTTATTTTATTTTGTATTTTTTTGTCAAATAAGAAGCTAGCTGGTAGCTTGCAAGCTAGTTAGCTCCCATGCCAATTTCAAGTCTTTCTAAACTAATATCTGACTAACTCGGAAATATGAATGTATTTCAGAATGAAGGTTACCTGGCTAGCGCATCATGTTTTGTGACATTATGTTAGCTAGCTATCCCCAGTTAGACAATGTGTTTTCACTTATTGCATCCGTGCTTGTTGTGTTCTCCCGGGTTTACGCTAGTTACCACAGCCACTAAGTCAATATATATATAAAAAATATTCTTCTTAATTTAAGGTTAGGCTAAGGCTTAGCAGTGTGGTTCATGTTAGGCTAAGGCTTAGCAGTGTGGTTAATGTTAGGGTTAGGCTAAGGCTTAGCAGTGTGGTTAATGTTAGGGTTAGGCTAAGGCTTAGCAGTGTGGTTCATGTTAGGCTAAGGCTTAGCAGTGTGGTTAATGTTAGGGTTAGGCTAAGGCTTAGCAGTGTGGTTAATGTTAGGGTTAGGCTAAGGCTTAGCAGTGTGGTTCATGTTAGGCTAAGGCTTAGCAGTGTGGTTAATGTTAGGGTTAGGCTAAGGCTTAGCAGTGTGGTTAATGTTAGGGTTAGGCTAAGGTTAGCAGTGTGGTTAATGTTAGGCTAAGGTTAGCAGTGTGGTTAATGTTAGGGTTAGGCTAAGGCTTAGCAGTGTGGTTAATGTTAGGGTTAGGCTAAGGCTTAGCAGTGTGGTTCATGTTAGGCTAAGGCTTAGCAGTGTGGTTAATGTTAGGGTTAGGCTAAGGCTTAGCAGTGTGGTTAATATTAGGGTTAGGCTAAGGCTTAGCAGTGTGGTTCATATTAGGGTTAGGCTAAGGCTTAGCAGTGTGGTTCATGTTAGGGTTTAAAATCACATTGTAAGAATAGGCATCCTTTATGACTTTGTAGCTGCGGTAACTAGTGACGACTGTTCTCCCTGATGCACTTGTTCGTTCATGAGCTGGCTGCTCGTTCTAAATAGTATAATCCAATCTGTTCAAAACAGTGGTGGGCGGGAGGGTAGCAAAACCTTCCAATGGGCATAACCATTCATATTGAGGAGACGGGGAGGTGGTGCTAAAATGCAATCTGTTAATTATTTACATAGATAAAGTGGACAATATCTATTTTAATACAGACTCAAAACATTACTAATCACTGAACATGACAAATTACCCAACGGATCATTTTCTCTTAGAAAAGTGGGGGTACAAAAACATATGTATGCACCCCTATTTTGAAAGTGGGGATACAACTGCTCCGTTTGCTCCATTGCTCAGGCGTGTGTGTTTTCAAATGAACATACATTAGAACAATGTCCTGTGTAATCGCGGGCTATTCTTTGGGTGCCGAAATCAGTAGTTTTTGATAATTTTATTTGACATCGAAGCTCCAGTCTGCCTGCAGGAAAAACATTGATATTGTCTTTGTGTTATAGATGGAGCAAATGGGTTATGCAGCTTCCACCATGTTCGGGACGACAACACCCGCAGAACGGGGAGAGTGAGATTCCCTTACTGCTTGATGTTTCCAACGTCCCCTCTTTTATTGAACTATTCTCATCAGTGGTACAGTCCAAAAGAAGAGGAGAGAGACTAAAGAACAGGAAGAACCTGCCGTTAAGGATGATCAAATGGAGAAGGATCTACCTGAACCTGAACACAAAGAGCAAACCGTGACGGAGTTGGAAATGGTGGACAACGAGAGGAAGAAATGTAAAAAGCAAAAGAAGAAAGAGAAGCGCGTGAATGTTCAAGCTGAAATGGAGGAACGAACTGAAGGGAAAACGAAGAAAAAGTCAAACGATCTTCAAACACAACGAGACGATGGAGCGACTGTTGCTGAGGAGGCGATGAGTAGCTGGAGGAAAAAGACACACCATAATGACAGACGGACAGAAGACGGGATGGACAGTGGCCTCTCAGCGTCTGCAGTAGATGTCTCGGATGTAAGAGTGCCAGAGGAGGCCAGAAGGAGTAAGAAGAAGCACAAGAACAGACGAACGGAGCTTGGAGAGGGAGCGGAAAGCCGTCACACAGTTTTAAGATTAGCAGATGATCCTGAAATCATAGAACTATACACTGACACGGTTGAGGGAGGTGAAAATGTGGTAACGGAGCAACAGAACAATGTAAAGGAGAAGAGGAAACGAAAAAAGGAAAAAATTGGAGAGATTCAACTGAACGTTTGTCCAGATGAAACGGAGCTTCAGAGAAATGGAGCTGAGAGAAAATGGAAGACAATGAGGCTGACAACACAACCGGACGGAGGGTCTGCTGCTGTAGAGGGCAGCGGGAGGAAAAAGAGAAAACGCTGCAGAGAGTCCGACACGGGAATGGACCGTGTGCCCTCGACGTCTGATAACGGGACACCTGATGCTGGACCAGAACCTGAGACAGGGGAGGATGGCCCCCATACAACCATGGTTGAGACAAGGATCCAACACCGCAGACGCATCCTAAAGGAGAAACTCCTAAGGTCAGTAGAAAGGAACCTCGGACACTCGTTTAAGGGTGAATCTAGCATATTTTGAAGAGTGATTTCTCTTATTGGTGGTAGTGAACATAACCATTGACCGCAGGAAAACCAGACCTTTTGTGAATCATTGTGCGGTGTACCAGAGTTGAATCTGAAACCTCTTCCTGTGCAGAGAGGAAGCATTCCTGTCCTGCTCTGTCTACTCAGAGGTTTCAAAACACATGTTTTAGATTTAGATATTATGTTATTTAGATGTTCTCCCCTCCCTATGTTACAGTGAGAAAGAATGGAATGCTATGAATGAGCTCAAAGAGTTTATTCCCAATGTTGAGTCTCAGGCTGCTTGGAGGATCAGAGTGATGATAAAGTATGATCTTGATCGATTCAAGGAATTCCGAAGACAAGGTACGTTTATCACAGCGTGATGTAGCGAACATGTCCACATGGAAGCAATGTTATGTAACATGTTACTGTGTTGAGAGATGTTTGAGAAATTTGATTCAATTCTGAAAAAAAGGAAAATGTGATTTTCTCCCCCTTTAACACATGAATCCACATTCAGTGTTTTTCTTTGTTTTTGTTTTTTCAGCTGACTGAATGTATTATCATTTAGACCCAATGGGTTATGCCAGGCCTCCAGACTGACACCATTTAGTCACATTTTGCGGCCCTATAGGCGTCCGCGTACGGTAAAGCTTTAGACTTGGATGTGAGAGTTAAATGTTTTATTGGTTGCATTGGTGTGAGCTGCACCATCCACAGACAGTGGGGAGAACAAGTATTTGATACACTGCCGATTTTGCAGGTTTTCCTACTTACAAAGCATGTAGAGGTCTGTAATTTTTATCATAGGTACACTTCAACTGTGAGAGACGGAATCTAAACAAAAATCACATTGTATGATTTTTAAGTAATTAATTTGCATTTTATTGCATGACATAAGTGTTTGATACATCAGAAAAGCAGAACTTAATATTTGGTACAGAAACCTTTGTTTGCAATTACAGAGATCATACGTTTCCTGTAGGTCTTGACCAGGTTTGCACACACTGCAGCAGGGATTTTGGCCCACTCCTCCATACAGACCTTCTCCAGATCCTTCAGGTTTCGGGGCTGTCGCTGGGCAATACGGACTTTCAGCTCCCTCCAAAGATTTTCTATTGGGTTCAGGTCTGGAGACTGGCTAGGCCACTCCAGGACCTTGAGATGCTTCTTACGGAGCCACTCCTTAGTTGCCCTGGCTGTGTGTTTCGGGTCGTTGTCATGCTGGAAGACCAGCCACGACCCATCTTCAATGCTCTTACTGAGGGAAGGAGGTTGTTGGCCAAGATCTCGCGATACATGGCCCCATCCATCCTCCCCTCAATACGGTGCAGTCGTCCTGTCCCCTTTGCAGAAAGCATCCCCAAAGAATGATGTTTCCACCTCCATGCTTCACGGTTGGGATGGTGTTCTTGGGGTTGTACTCATCCTTCTTCCTCCAAACACACGCGAGTGGAGTTTAGACCAAAAAGCTCTATTTTTGTCTCATCAGACCACATGACCTTCTCCCATTCCTCCTCTGGATCATCCAGATGGTCATTGGCAAACTTCAGACGGGCCTGGACATGCGCTGGCTTGAGCAGGGGGACCTTGCGTGCGCTGCAGGATTTTAATCCATGACGGCGTAGTGTGTTATTAATGGTTTTCTTTGAGACTGTGGTCCCAGCTCTCTTCAGGTCATTGACCAGGTCCTGCCGTGTAGTTCTGGGCTGATCCCTCACCTTCCTCATGATCATTGATGCCCCACGAGGTGAGATCTTGCATGGAGCCCCAGACTGAGGGTGATTGACCGTCATCTTGAACTTCTTCCATTTTCTAATAATTGTGCCAACAGTTGTTGCCTTCTCACCAAGCTGCTTGCCTATTGTCCTGTAGCCAATCCCAGCCTTGTGCAGGTCTACAATTTTATCCCTGATGTCCTTACACAGCTCTCTGGTCTTGGCCATTGTGGAGAGGTTGGAGTCTGTTTGATTGAGTGTGTGGACAGGTGTCTTTTATACAGGTAACAAGTTCAAACAGGTGCAGTTAATACAGGTAATGAGTGGAGAACAGGAGGGCTTCTTAAAGAAAAACTAACAGGTCTGTGAGAGCTGGAATTCTTACTGGTTGGTAGGTGATCAAATACTTATGTCATGCAATAAAATGCAAATTAATTACTTAAAAATCATACAATGTGATTTTCTGGATTTTTGTTTTAGATTCCGTCTCTCACAGTTGAAGTGTACCTATGATAAAAATTACAGACCTCTACATGCTTTGTAATTAGGAAAACCTGCAAAATCAGCAGTGTATCAAATCCTTGTTCTCCCCACTGTAGTCACCTTTACTCCTAATGTCCTGGTTTTGTAGGTATTTGGTAACAGTAATGTAATGAAAGCCTCTGGCCCTATACCTGTCACCTGCTGCTGGACAAAAAGCAGTGGCTATTATATTTAGAGACGATGTGTTTTGAGTTTCCTCTTACTCGGGTGGTGAATTAGCCACAAATAAATGTGCCTATGATATTAGATCACATAGAGATGTAGGCAAATTCATCTCTATTGAAAAAAAGAACATTCAGAACTTTCTGGAGCCCTATTTTAACAGTAAAATATAACTACTATAACCTAATTGTCAACCCACAATTCATCACTGGATTAGGTTGCACCTAATAACAAAATATCCTGAATCATGCATTTTTCTTGGTGTGTGACCAAATCATGGACTGGTGCCACCAACTGAAAAAGTACCAGTGTTACAGGAGAACATGTGAGGGGCACCAGTGTTACAGGAGAACATGTTAGGGGCACCAGTGTTACCAGGAGAACATGTTAGGGGCACCAGTGTTACAGGAGAACATGTTAGGGGCACCAGTGTTACCAGGAGAACATGTTAGGGGCACCAGTGTTACCAGGAGAACATGTTAGGGGCACCAGTGTTACAGGAGAACATGTTAGGGGCACCAATGTTACAGGAGAACATGTTAGGGGCACCAGTGTTACCAGGAGAACATGTTAGGGGCACCAGTGTTACAGGAGAACATGTTAGGGGCACCAGTGTTACCAGGAGAACATGTTAGGGGCACCAGCGTTACAGGAGAACATGTTAGTCTGGAGCCCTAGGTTAAGCCTCTGTGGAATCTTCTGTCTTTCTCAGGCATTTCCCTGCGAACTGGACGATTCAGTGCACAGGAGAACAAACAACTCATCAGGAACATACATGACTTCCTGGCTCTCACAGGGATTGAGGATGCCTCTAAGCTCTTCCATACAAAGCGCTTCAAAGACGAAGCAAGAAATATCCAGAGGTTGAAGAGTCATCACAGTTTCCCTGAAAGAATAGGTGCGGTGTATTCCAGCCAGGTTCATAAGATAACTTGTTGTCAGATAAAGCTTCATCCCCACATTGTATCCCTGTTCTTTAGCGTTGTCTACAGTGATCTGTGAACTGATCTCCCTTCTCCCTAACCTGTACTGTTCCAGCTGAAGGGATCCCAAGGCCTTGGCATAAGATCTATACTCGAGGTGGGAGGAAAATGTTTGATGGCAGCAGCTACAAGGGCAGGTAAGACAGGGCTGGTTACTTTAAGGGCAGGTAAGACGGGGCTAGTTACTTTAAGGCTAGGTAAGACGGGGCTGGTTACTTTAAGGCTAGGTAAGACGGGGCTGGTTACTTTAAGGCTAGGTAAGACGGGGCTGGTTACTTTAAGGCTAGGTAAGACGGGGCTGGTTACTTTAAGGCTAGGTAAGACGGGGCTGGTTACTTCAAGGGCAGGTAAGATGGGGCTTGTTACTTTAAGGCTAGGTAAGACGGGGCTAGTTACTTTAAGGCTAGGTAAGACGGGGCTGGTTACTTTAAGGCTAGGTAAGACGGGTCTAGTTACTTTAAGGCTAGGTAAGACGGGGCTGGTTACTTTAAGGCTAGGTAAGACGGGGCTGGTTACTTCAAGGGCAGGTAAGACGGGGCTTGTTACGTTAAGGCTAGGTAAGACGGGGCTGGTTACTTTAAGGCTAGGTAAGACGGGGCTGGTTACTTCAAGGGCAGGTAAGACAGGGCTTGTTACGTTAAGGCTAGGTAAGACGGGGCTGGTTACTTTAAGGCTAGGTAAGACGGGGCTGGTTACTTCAAGGGCAGGGAAGACGGGGCTTGTTACTTTAAGGCTAGGTAAGACGGGGCTTGTTACTTCAAGGGCAGGTAAGACGGGGCTTGTTACTTTAAGGCTAGGTAAGACGGGGCTTGTTACTTTAAGGCTAGGTAAGACGGGGCTGGTTACTTTAAGGGCAGGTAAGACGGGGCTAGTTACTTTAAGGGCAGGTAAGACGGGGCTAGTTACTTTAAGGGCAGGGAAGACGGGGCTTGTTACTTTAAGGCTAGGTAAGACGGGGCTTGTTACTTCAAGGGCAGGTAAGACGGGGCTTGTTACTTTAAGGCTAGGTAAGACGGGGCTTGTTACTTTAAGGCTAGGTAAGACGGGGCTGGTTACTTTAAGGGCAGGTAAGACGGGGCTAGTTACTTTAAGGGCAGGTAAGACGGGGCTAGTTACTTTAAGGGCAGGTAAGACGGGGCTAGTTACTTTAAGGGCAGGTAAGACGGGGCTAGTTACTTTAAGGCTAGGTAAGACGGGGCTAGTTACTTTAAGGCTAGGTAAGACGGGGCTAGTTACTTTAAGGGCAGGTAAGACGGGGCTAGTTACTTTAAGGGCAGGTAAGACGGGGATAGTTACTTTAAGGGCAGGTAAGACGGGGCTAGTTACTTTAAGGCTAGGTAAGACGGGGCTAGTTACTTTAAGGCTAGGTAAGACGGGGCTAGTTACTTTAAGGGCAGGTAAGACGGGGCTAGTTACTTTAAGGCTAGGTAAGACGGGGCTTGACTGTGCTGTTTTTCTGACACTAAGCTCTTTATACTGAGCTAACATTTACGGACTTATTGCACCACTTGATTTGAATTCTTAGACGAAGGTTCAGCGAAGATGAACTTGACTCTTTGAAAAAACTGCAGAAGTTGTACGGCAACAAATGGGTGAAGATCTCGCAGTTGACTGGCCGAAGCGAAACGCCCCTTAGGAAGCGTTTTTCTCAGATGTGTAAGTCATTAGGAACTTGTGAATGAAATATAATGACTCTTGATCCACTTCTCCTTGGGACATTTGTTACCAGCGTTGTCTGAACAATGCTCCCTCTTTGTTTGGTGTGTGTTTTTCAGTCGCAAACTTAGGTTCTTGGAGCGAGGAAGAACTGAAGAGACTAATGGAGGCTGTTCGAGACCACCTGCTGGGACAGGCAGAGCCTGGCAGTGGACCTGCCACCATCAGGAAAGACAAGCTGTACAACCACATCCCCTGGTCAGATGTGTGCCGGAGGGTTAAGACACGCCACCGGGACCAGTGTAGAATGAAATGGTGTGTAGTTTTCATTGGTTACAGGGTTTCAGGGGTAACTGAAAGTGCAGAAATTACCATAAAATTCATTATGATCTGGGAGGGTGATTTAATTATTCACTTTTCTTCAACAATGTGACTATTGGATTTGTCAGAGTTTCAAGTTCTTTGGTGTCCACATCACCAACAAACTGGTCCAAACACACCAAGACAGTCGTGAAGAGGGCATGACAAAACCTATTCCCCCTCAGGAGACTGAAAAGATTTGGCATGGGTCCCCAGATCCTCAAAAAAGTTCTACAGCTGCACCATCGAGGGCAGCGTTGTCAGAGGAAGGCCCAAAAAATGGTCAAAGACTCCAGTCACCCAAGTCATAGACTGTTCTCTCTGCTACCGCACGGCAAGCGGTACCGGAGCGCCAAGTCTAGGTCCACCCGGACTATTTGCATTGACCCCCCCCCCCCCCCCCCCCCCCCGTGTTTTAACACTGCTGCAACTCTCTGTTTATTATCTATGCGTAATCACTGTACCCCTACCTACATGTACATATTACCTCTATTAACCTGTACCCCCGCACAATGACTCGGTACCGGTACCCCCTGTATATAGCCTGTGTAGCCCAGTTGGTAGAGCATGGTGTTTGCAACGCCAGGGTTGTGGGTTCGATTCCCACGGGGGGCCAGTATGAAAATGTATGCACTCACTAACTGTAAGTGGCTCTGGATAAGAGCGTCTGCTAAATGACTAAAATGTAAAATGTAATTGTTTTTGTGTTACTTTTTATTTTGTTTTTTACTTTAGTTTATTTAGTAAATATTTTATTATAAACTCTTTCTTGAACTGCATTTTTGGTTAAGGGCTTGTAAGTAAGCATTTCACGATAAGGTCTACACCTGTTGAATCCGGTGCATGTGACAAATAACATTGGATTTGATAACGAGCAAATCAGATTTCAAATTCAATTTTGATTTTCACATGCTTGTAGACTAACGGTGAAATGCTTACAGGTCCTTTTCCAACAATGCAGAGTTAAAGATCAAATAAAAAATATTGACACGAGGAATAATGAGTAGAAAATAACATGGCTATATACAGGAAGTAGAAAATAACATGGCTATATACAGGAAGTAGAAAATAACATGGCTATATATAGGAAGTAGAAATAACATGGCTATATATAGGAAGTAGAAAATAACATGGCTATATACAGGAAGTAGAAAATAACATGGCTATATACAGGAAGTAGAAAATAACATGGCTATATACAGGAAGTAGAAAAAAACATGGCTATATACAGGAAGTAGAAAATAACATGGCTATATATAGGAAGTAGAAAATAACATGGCTATATACAGGAAGTAGAAAAAAACATGGCTATATACAGGGCGTAGAAAATAACATGGCTATATATAGGAAGTAGAAAATAACATGGCTATATACAGGAAGTAGAAAATAACATGGCTATATACAGGAAGTAGAAAATAACATGGCTATATACAGGAAGTAGAAAATAACATGGCTATATACAGTGGGGAGAACAAGTATTTGATACACTGCCGATTTTGCAGGTTTTCCTAATTACAAAGCATGTAGAGGTCTGTAATTTTTATCATAGGTACACTTCAACTGTGAGAGACGGAATCTAAAACCAAAATCCAGAAAATCACATTGTATGATTTTTAAGTAATTAATTTTCATTTTATTGCATGACGTCAGTATTTGATCACCAACCTGATTCTAAAATGGATTAAATAAAAATAAAATCGTCAATCTACCAACAATACCCCATAATGACAAAGAGAAAACAGGTGTATAAATTGTAGCAAATGTATTTTTAAAAAACGGAAATACCTTATTTCCATAAGTATTCAGACCCTTTGCTATGAGACTTGAAATTGAGCTCAGGTGCATCCTGTTTCAATTGATCATCCTTGAGATGTTTCTACAACTTGATTGGAGTCCACCTGTGGTAAATTCAATTGATTGGACATGATTTGGAAAGGCACACACCTGTCTATATAAGGTCCCACAGTTGACAGTGCACGTTAGAGCAAAAACCAAGCCATGAGGTTGAAGGAATTGTCCATAGAGCTCCGAGACAGGATTGTGTCGAGGCACAGATCTGGGGAAGGGTACCCAAAACCTTCTGCAGTATTGAAGGACCCCAAGAACACAGCGGCCTCCATCATTCTTAAATGGAAGAAGTTTGGAACCACCAAGACTCTTCCTAGAGCTGGCCGCCCGGCCAAACTGAGCAATCGGGGGAGAAGGGCCTTGGTCAGGGAGGTGACCAAGAACCCAATGGTCACTCTGACAGAGCTCTAGAGTTCCTCTGTGGAGATTGGAGAACCTTCCAGAAGGACAACTATCTCTGCAGCACTCCACCAATCAGGCCTTTATGGTAGAGTGGCCAGACCGAAGCCACTCCTCAGTAAAAGGCACATGACAGCCCGCTTTTGGAGTTTGCCAAAAGGCACCTAAAGGACTCTCAGACCATGAGAAACAAGATTCTCTGGTCTGATGAAACCAAGATTGAACTCTTTGGCCTGAATGCCAAGCGTCATGTCTGGAGGAAACCTGGCACCATCCCTACGGTGAAGCATGGTGGCGGCAGCATCATGATGTGGGGATGTTTTTCAGGGGCAGGGACTGGGAGACTAGTCAGGATCGAGGGAAAGATGAATGGAGCAAAGTACAGAGAGATCCTTGATGAAAACCTGCTCCTGAGCGCTCAGGACCTCAGACTTGGGCAAAGGTTCACCTTCCAACAGGTCAACGAACCTAAGCACACAGCCAAGACAACGCAGGAGTGGCTTCGGGACAAGTCTCTGAATGTCCTTGAGTGGCCCAGCCAGAGCCCGGACTTGAACCCGATCGAACATCTCTGGAGAGACCTGAAAATAGCTGTTGAGCGATGCTCCCCATCCAACCTGACAGAGCATAAAATTATTTGCAGAGAAGAATGGGAGAAACTCCCCAAATACAGGTGTGCCAAGCTTGTAGCTTCATACCCAAGAAGACTCGAGGCTGTAATTGCTGCCAAAGGTGCTTAAACAAAGTACTGAGTAAAGGGTCTGAATACTTATGTAAATGTAATATTTCCTTTTTTTTTTTTTTTTTTATACATTTGCAACATTTCTAAAAACCTGTTTTTGCTTTGTCACTATGGGGTATTGTGTGTAGCTTGACAATGGGAAAAAATACATTTGTGGGAAAAAGTCAAGGGGTCTGAATACTTTTTGAAAGCATAGCCAAACTTCTGCCATAGCCAGTTGGCAAATATGCTAAAATGTCTCTCTTGCCAGTCAACCTTTTTAAGGGCAACTGTTGCAGTGGCTTTAATGAATGGATGGACTGCTAAGATTCTATGTTACGGATGTTAAACAGGGAAAGTATCAGAAATTATTAATATATGTAACACGATTTCCGTTCTGGGTTGACCCAGATGAATTGCTTGCTAAACTCTAGTTAAATAGTCGCCTCCTTATAACTCACCTTGTTTAAGGAAACTAAATAATTAGGTTGACTGTTTTTTTGCACGTTAAACAATTCTTGCACCATGAAAATGTCAGCCCTGTTTTGTTTCCACAAACGTTCAGATTCAGAACATGGTCCACCTTTTGAGGCGGAGGCTGCATCTTTTCTCCTACTTTTCCAGGTTGGGTATTCTGGCACACAAAATGACATATGGACGACCAGTATTCAGTGGAGGTGTGAAAACCATAAAGGCCAAAGTGGTTTTGATCAAAGCGTGAGTTTTGAGTTTTGTGATGATTTTCATTCAATAAATGCTATTGTAGATCTGTGTTTAGCTGATTTTCTTTTGAAGATTTATTAGCCCAGTTTAGTGACTTAGTAATGTGTAATAATATGATTTATTAGCCCAGTCTTGTGACTTAGTAATGTGTAATAATATGATTTATTAGCCCAGTCTAGTGACTTAGTAATATGTAATAATATGATTTATTAGCCCAGTTTAGTGACTTAGTAATGTGTAATAATATGATTTATTAGCCCAGTTTAGTGACTTAGTAATGTGTAATAATATGATTTATTAGCCCAGTTTAGTGACTTAGTAATGTGTAATAATATGATTTATTAGCCCAGTTTAGTGACTTAGTAATGTGTAATAATATGATTTATTAGCCCAGTCTAGTGACTTAGTAATGTGTAATAATATGATTTATTAGCCCAGTTTAGTGACTTAGTAATGTGTAATAATATGATTTATTAGCCCAGTTTAGTGACTTAGTAATGTGTAATAATATGATTTATTAGCCCAGTCTAGTGACTTAGTAATGTGTAATAATAATATTAGTAGTATATGCCATGTACTTTACCTTTCTGCGTAGTCCTGATTTACAGGGCCAACGGTAGTCTTGTTCTTGGTATAATGGCATATGAAACTGGCATGGTCAACAATTTTTATTTTGCGAATGTTGATTCAATGTAATTTCGACCTTTTCAGGTTGAACGCAATGCAGGTGGAAGATGCTTCAGATGTTGACTGGGAAGAAATTGCTCACACAATTGGGTAAGAGGTTATTATACACAGATTAAACTTTTGTTTTAGACCATGTTGCATTTGTTTTATTCACTGACAGAGGTTTATATTGCGTTAATATTACATTTAGATTCTCAAGTTTCTTAATACAACACTGAGATGTTGTAATTCAATACTAACTTGGTCAATAATCGTCAAAAGAACGGGGATCTGTACAGTACAAAGCAAAGCCTTTGTAGATGTTTGCTATCGTCTAGGAGTGAGGAGTACAACAGCACCTGGCAGGGTTAGATGTTTGCTATCGTCTAGGAGTGGAGTACAACAGCACGTGGCAGGGTTAGATGTTTGCTATCGTCTAGGAGTGGAGTACAAACAGCACCTGGCAGGGTTAGATGTTGCATCGTTAGAGGATACACAACTGGCAGTAGTTTGATCGTCTAGGAGTGGGTACAACAGCACCTGCAGGTTAGATGTTGCTATCGTCTAGGAGTGAGGTACAACAGCACCTGGCAGGGTTTGATGTTTGCTTCACTCTAGGCCAAACGGAGCAATCGGTGGCGAAGGCTTGGTCAGGGAGGTGACCAAGAACCCAATGGTCACTCTGACAGAGCTCTAGAAGTTCCCTCTGTGGAGATTGGAAGACCTTCGAAGGACACTATCTCTGCATCACCTCACCATCAGCCTTTATGGTAGAGTGCCATACCGAAGCCACTCCTCAGTAAAAGGCACATGACAGCCAGCCCCGCTTTTTGAGTTTTGCCAAAGGCACCTCCAGGACTCTCAGACCATGAGAAAAACAAGATTCTCTGGTCCTGATGAAACCAAGATTGAACTCTTTGGCCTGAATGCCAAGCGTCATGTCTGGAGGAAAACCTGGCACCATCCCTACGGTGAAAGCTGGTGGCGGCAGCATCATGATGTGTGGATGTTTTTCAGGGGCAAAGGGACTGGGAGACTAGTCAGGATGAGGGAAAGATGAAATGGAGAATACATATAGATCTTGATGAAACCTTCTCCTGAGCGCTTTCGGACCTCATCTTGGGCAAAGGTTCACCTTCCAACAGGTCAACGAACCTAAGCACACAGCCAAGACAACGCAGGGTGGCTTTCGGGACAAGTCTCTGAATGTCCTGAGTGTGCCCAGCCAGATCCGGACTTGAACCCGAGTCGACCTCTCTGGAGAGACCTGAAATAGCGGTTGAGCGATGCTCCCCATCCAACCTGCCAGAGCTAAAAATTATTTGCAGATAAGAATGGGAGAAACTTCCCCAAATACAGGTTGCCAAGCTTGTACTTCATACCCAAGCAGACTCAGGGCTGTATTGCTGCCCAAAGGTGTTAAACAAAGTACTGAGTAAATGGTCCTGAATAGTATGTAAATTAATATTTTCCTTTTTTTTTTTTTTTTATACATTTGCAACTTGCTAAAAACCTGTTTGCTTTGTCACTATGGGGTATTGTGTGTAGCTTGACAATGGGAAAAATACATTTGGTGGGGCAAAGTCAAAGGGGTCTGAATCATCTTTTGGAAAGCATAGCCAAACTTCTGCATAGTCCAGTTGGCAATATGCTAAAATGTCTTCTCTTGCCATCACAACCTTTTAAGGGCAACTGTTCAGTGGGCTTTAATGAATGGATGGACTGGCTAATTTCTATGTTACGGATGTTTAAAAAACAGGGAAAGTATCAGAAATTTTAATATCTGTAACACGCTTTCCGTTTCTGGGTTACCCCGATGACATTGCTTGCTAAAAACTCTAGTTTAAAGATCGCCTCCTTAATAACTCACCTTTTTAAGGAACTAAATAATCATGTTACTGTTTTTTTGCAACGTTAAAACAATTCTTGCCCCATGAAAATGTCATCCCTGTTTTGTTCCTCCACAAACGTTCAGATTCAGACACTGTCCACCTTTTGAGGCGGGCCTGCATCTTTTCTCCTACTTTTCCAGGTTGGGTATTCTGGCACACAAAATGAACATATGGACGACCCAGTATTCAGTGGAGGGTGTGAAACCCATAAAGGCCACATTGGTTTTGATCAAAGCGTGAGTTTTTGAGTTTTGTGATGATGTCGATTCATAAATGCTATTGTAATCTGTGTTTAGCTGATTTTCTTTTGAAGATTTATTAGCCAGTTTAGTGACTTAGTAATGTGTAATAATATGATTTAATTAGCCCGTCTGTGACTTAGTATGTTTAATACTTGATTTATTAGCCCAGTCTAGTGATTAGTAATATTTAATATAGATTTTATTTGCCCGTTTAGTGACTTAGTAATGTGTAATATAATGATTTATTAGCCCATTTATGAATTCAGTAATGTGTAATAATATGATTTATTAAGCCCAGTGTATGACTTAGTAATGTGTAATAATATTATTTATTAGCCCAGTTTAGTGACTTAGTAATTTGTAATAATATGATTTATTAGCCCCGCTAGTGACGTGGTATGTGTAATAATCTGATTTATTAGCCCCCCCCATTTAGTGACTTAGTAATGTGTAATAATATGATTTATTTAGCCCAGTTTAGTGACTTAGTAATGTGTAATACATAATGAGTGATTATCCAGTCCTAGTGACTATAATGTTGTAATAAATAATATTAGTAGTATATGCCCTTTACTTTAACCTTTCTTTCTCTGCGTATCCTGATTTAACAGGGCCAACGTTTCGTGTTTCTTGGTATAATGGCAATGAACTGGCATGGTCCAACAATTTTTTATTTTGGCGAATGTTTGATTCAATGATTTCGACTTTTTCAGGTTGAACGCAATGCAGGTGGAGATGCTCAGATGTTTGAGATGGGGGGTAAGGGATATTGGGTGAGAGGAATGATAGGGTAAGAGACGAGGTATCGGACGTACGGGGAGTATGGGTGTGTGGTAGAAAAGATACTAGGAGAAGGAGAGGAGGGGGTGTTGGAGAAGGAGTTGGGGGAGAGGAGGGTAAAGGGTCATGGAGATCCGTATTTCCTCCCTTTCTCCCGGAAACCCCAATGGTAAGAGGTTATTATACAGACAACAGATTAAACTTTTGTGTTTTAGACCATGTTGCATTTGTTTTTTCACTGAACAGAGGTTATTTGCGTTAATATTACATTTCGATTCTCAAGTTTCTTAATACAACAACACTGATATGTTGTAATTCAGCAATACTAACTTGGTCAATAACGTCAACAGAACGGGGATCTGTACAGTAAAAAAGCAAAGCCTTTGTAGATGTTTGCTATCGTCTAGGAGTGAGGAGTACAACAGCACCTGTCAGGTTAGATGTTTTTTCTATCGTCTAGGAGTGGAGTACAACATTCAACGTGGCCAGGGTTAGATGTTTGCTATCGTCTAGGAGTGTAGTACAACAGCACCTGGCAGGGTGTAGATGTTTGCTTTATCGTCTAGGATGGAGTACAAAACAGTCACCTGGCAGGTTAGATGTTTGCTAGTTTCTAAATCGTCTAGGAGTGCGGAGTACAACAGCACCTGGCGGGTTAGATGTGTGCTTATCGTCTAGGAGTGGAGGAGGACACAGCACTGGCCGGTTAGATTTTGCTTATCGCTAGGAGTGGAGTACAAAACAGCACCTGGCATGGTTAGATGTTTGCTATCGTCTAGGAGTGAGGAAGTACACAGCACGTTGCAGGGAGATGTTGCTATCGTCTAGGAGTGGAGTACAACAGCATCCTGGCATGGTTAGATGTTTGCTTTATCGTCTAGGAGTGGAGTACAACAGCACGTGGCAGGGTGATGTTTTGCTATCGGCTAGGAGTGGGTACAACAGCACCTGGCAGGGTTAATGTTTGCTAATCGTCTATGAGTGGAGTACAACAAGCACGTGGCGGTTAGTATGTTTGCCTATCGTCTAGGAGTGAGAGTACAAAGCACGTTGGCAAGGGTTTAGATGTTTGCTATCGTCTAGGAGTGTGAGTCAAAACAGCAGCCTGGCAGGTTAGATTTTGCTATCGTCTAGGAGTGAGGAGTACATGACAGCACCTGGCGGGTTAGATGTTTGCTTCGTCTAGGAGTGATGAGTCAAAGCACTTGGCAGGGTTGATGTTTGCTATCGTCTAGGATGGAGTTACAAACAGCACCTGGCAGGGTTAGATGTTTGCTACGTCTAGGAGTGGAGTACAACAGCACTGGTCAGGGGTAGACTGGTTTGCTATCGTCTAGGAAGTGAGGAGTACAACAGCACGTGCAGGGTTAGATGTTGGCTATCGGCTAGGAGTGCGGAGACATACAAAAGCACGTGTGGCAGGGTTAGATGTTTGCCTAATCCTTCTAGGAGTGAAGTACAACATGCAACCTGGAGGGTTAGATGTTTGCTATCGTTCTAGGAGTGGAGTACAACAGCACGTGGCATGGGTTTATGTTGCTTCGTCTAGGAGTGAGGATAACAACAGCAACGTGGCAGGGTTAGATTGTGCTAGCGTCTAGAGTGAGTACAACAGTCCCTGGCAGGGTTGATGTTTTTTCTATCGTCTAGGAGTGGAGTACAAAACAGCACTGGCATGGTTAGATGTTTGCTATCGTCTAGGAGTGATGAGTACAACGGACCGTGGCACGGGTTCGATGTTTGCTATCGTCAGGAGTGGTACAACAGGCACTGGCAGGGTTAGATGTTTGCTATCGTCTAAGGAGTGAGGAGTACAACACACGTGGGGCAGGGTTTAGATGGTTGCTATCGTCTAGGAGTGAGGAGTACAACAGCACGTGCAGGTTAGATGTTTGCTATCGTCTAGGAGTGGAGTACAACAGCAACGGCAATGGTTAGATGTTTGCTATGGCTAGGAGTGGAGTAGCAACAGCACCTGGCAGGGTAGATGTTTGCTATCGTCTAGAGGTGGAGTACAACAGCACGTGGCAGGGTTAATGTTTGCTACTCGTCTAGGAGTGGATACAACAGCACGTGGCAGGGTTATATGTTTGCTATCGTTCCTAGGATGGAGTACAACAGCAGCAGTGGCAAGGGTAGATTTGCTTATCGTCTAGGATTGTGGAAGTACAACAGCACGTGGCAGGGTTAATGTTTGCTGATCGTCGAGA